GGGGTGGGGGGGGGGGGGGGGGGAGGAGGAGCAGCAGCACTGAGAAACAGGCAGTGGTGTTAAGGGGCTGCTCCTTAGCTCCCTGTGCTCCCAGGGAAACCCATCAGTGCCTTGTCTGATCAGCTGTTGTTACCACAGAAGGCTTCAGTTTTGGGCTGTCTGCAGATAGGGATCTTTCAAGGGCTCGGGGGCAAACCAAGATCAGAGAGTAATGCTGTTTGCAAGCTCCTGCTGTGGCTGAAGCTCTGTCTCTGTTGCTGCTGGGCACCAACTGGAATAGGTATGTGCCAGGAAGCTGGTTTTTGCAGGGCACCCCAAAAGTAACCAGTGGGAAGAGAGGGAAGGAGAAGAGAGCGCTGTGGGATAGTCAGGGTCCCTCAGACCTGATCACATGTTAAAAATGTCTCACAATGATAAAGAAGTTGTTGATTCAAACAGCAGCTGGTCTGCCATTTTTGGGACACATTGGCCATCTTTTTTAGCACAACAAACAGCATGAATGTGTGGCCAGTTGCTTTTCATCATGCTAAAACAGCTGATATTGGCAGGACAAATATAGCACATCTAAATCCTGGAACTCCAACTAGAAATAAATGTTGGGGAATAGAACATGAGATGGAACAAAACGGAGAAAGAGAATCCTCTTATAATCTTTTAATAAAAAGGTGAAAAAAATACTAAAATTATAGTTACTCTAGCGTCTATTGCTTTCTGCACCCAGTAAAAAAAAAAAATGTTTGGGAGAGACTTTCTAAGCTTTTCTGAAATCAAAAAAGTCAAGGTAATGGTAACAAGGGCAAATTCTGCACTTTTTGGACACTTGCCTACATGCTAACAACTCAGTCAGCAAAATATTTTTTGTTAGCTATGGATTACAGATAAAGTGCAGGTCTGTGACTTGACCCTATGTTGGATGACAAATATGTAAGTGTGCATTTCTGATATTTTGGTCACATTTGCTCAAATACAATTAAAATCAGAAACATCAAATGTTGACAAAACAATGCATAATAGCTTAAAAACAAGACAATTGTTTTTCCCCCCGCTCCATGAAACTGTTATGGTACCTATTCACAAACATTTTCAGTTATCCTACATACTGGCTGGAGGGCCGCACCCAGAGAGTGATGGTGGACGGGTCTTATTTGACCTGGAGGGATGTGGGCAGTGGGGTTCCACAGGGCTCGGTCCTCGGGCCCGCACTGTTCAACATCTTCATCAGCGACTTGGACGAGGGGGTAAAAAGCACCCTGTTCAAATTCGCAGATGACACTAAGATGTGGGGGAACTGGGCATGCTACAAGGGAGGCATAGGCTGCAATCGGACCTAGACAGGTTACAGGGGTGGGCGAATGAGAACCCGATGGGTTTCAACACTAACAAGGTCAAGATACTGAACCTGCAGCATACTTACAGGCTGGGGAACTCCCTTCTCATCAGTGCAGAGGCAGAAAAGGATCTTGGAGTCATTATTGATGCCCAAATGAACATGGGCCGACAGTGTGGGGACGCAGTCAGGAAGCCCAGCCACACCTTGTCATGCATCCACAGATGCATCTCAAGCAGGTCCAAGGAGGTGATCCTCCCCCCCTATGCGCCCCGGGTCAGGCCGCAGCTGGAGTACTGCATCCAGTTCTGGGCACTGCACTTCAGGAGGGAAATGGACAACATGGAGAGGATACAGAGGGCCACCCACATGATCTGGGGGCAGCAGGGCAGGCCCTACGAGGAGAGGCTAAGGGCCCTGAACCTGTTCAGCCTCCACAAGAGAAGGCTGAGGGGGGATCTAGTGGTTGTTTACAAACTAGTCAGGGGGGACCAGCAGGCATTGGGAGAGTCCCTGTTCCCCTGAGCACTACCAGGAGTGACAAGAAATAACTGTCACAAGCTGGCAGAGGGTAGATTCAGACTAGATATCAGGCGGCACTACTTCACTGTCAGGGCGGCTAGGATCTGGAACCAACTTCTAAGAGAAGTGGTGCTGGCTCCTACCCTGGGGGGCTTTAAGAGGAGGCTGGATGAACACCTCACTGAGGTATTTGACCCCAGTACTCTTTCCTGCCATGGCAGGGGGTCGGACTTGATGATCTGCTCAGGGCCCTTCCGACCCTACCAACTATGAAACTATGAATACTGTTGAGAAGTACCTATAAACAGGCTTATTTTTGTGACATGCATACATGCTCTAAATACTCTTGGAGAGCACACCACAACTGTTATTTGGTGTCCACATAATATATCCTGAATATTTCATGGATATTTAACTGCAGTATCTTATGTAATGAGAAGTCTCCAGTCAGCTTTCAAAGTCTGAGACACAACAGTTTGAGTCCTTTGATGCAAGAGATAAAAATCAATATTCCTGATTCAGTTCTTTTCTAATGAAGCATAAAGGGGACAGATTCATACCAAGT